AATATGTACTCTCCAAAATCAAAAGAGCCACAGGTGTTTGTCTTGTGATATTCAGGTTGATCTACAACAAATGAAAAGTGCGCATATGCTAGAGATGTTCCCAAAGCAGTATCTAAAACAATGGTTCTCAACCTTGTTAGACTCAAGGCACATCACTGAAAGTGCCAGCTCTTAGTTTTCATTCTTTTTTTGACTAAATAAACATGCCAGAGCAATTCTTTTGTTGCAAAGATCTCAGAATGTTTTTAACACTATGGATTCCTATTTGAACTCTCTGATTTATCTTGTGAAATCTGTTTGCACATCTAAATGTGCTGACATTGTGTGACACCCTGAGACACCCTTGAAAGTATCTCAAGGCATCCCAGGTTGAGAATCACTGGTCTACAGTCTTGGGAAATTTGACCTCAGCTGATTATGAACACACTCTGTGACCATTCTGGCTCATTCTTATTTGCTTTTTGAAGTTTGTAACATCAGATTGTGGCATGGCATAGCAACTTCACTAATATTAGTCTCATCTGTGCAGTTCTAATCCATGTACACCCTTTTCTTTTTCCATTAACTGTTTTTTAGGAATTCGAGAATGGCTGACCAGAATCACATTTAGGTAGCCTACGTCCACTTACATGCCTAATAGATGGAATAAAATCTGGCCCTTTATGTTTTACATTAGTGATGGGTTTACTTCTGTCTGTTTTCCCTGTATTTATTCTCTGTTTCCCCAAAATTTCAACCTCTACAAGCCTTTTCTCACCAAAAATCTAGTTTGATCTTTCTATCACTACTATTTTAACCCATCCTAGCTACGCCAGTCCCCTGCTTTCCATTGCTATTGGCTATACATCAATGTTCCCCTTTCCTAAATGGAAGACATTTGTATCTAGAATCCTGGATGGGCTAAAAAGACTCTTGGCTACAGAGTCAAAAGAATCCTGTCCACAAGGACTCCACTCCACAAACCAGTATAAATCAGCACAAGTGGCCTGATTGATAGGATACATTTCTGCATCATCACACAATCCATTATGATGACCTAAATGTGAAAAGTGGCAGAACATTTGCTGCCTCAGCTGCAGTTTTGCTTGGTTTTTATTGAGCCCACAACAAATGGGCACGAACAAAGAGAAAAAAAAAGTTAGCCAAGTATTACATCATTTTCAGAGTCTCTTGGCACCATGGAGCTTATCCCACACCACCAGTATTTTCATCAAATTAAGTCAACCATCAACAAGGAATTCCTGTTGTCTAAATCACCCCACCAGATAAACACTTCGTGTTCTTCATTGTGTTTCATGCTAGCTTAGACAGGGATTTAATGTGGAGGCTTGCATTTCCTGTTACAACATTTTTATGCATCATTTCCCAATGGCTATTAGCTGTTTTCAAATATAGTTAGTTGCATGGCTTTCCTGTTCTCTTTTGATATTGATAATTTTTTTGTACTAAACAAAAGTGTTTCCAGTATACTGTTTCCTTTAAAAATTAATACTCCGGATGTCAGTCTTTGATGTAGATGCAGTATTTTGTAACAAAGATGTGATGCTCACAGACACATCCTGTATTTATATATTTCAGAGGACATCATTAAAGCAGCGACAAGTTAGAAGGTGGTATAAACATGTGTTCTAACTGATAGAAGCAAAATTAATTTAGAGACTACATTTTATCTTCACTGATTCTCATCTTGAAGGAGTTTGCTCAGTTCACTGGAGAGTTTGGTACTTGAGAAATACACACCCTTCCCTAGTCATAATTAACATGGTTAAAATAGACTCTCTCAATGCTACTACATTTGTATCAAACACAATCCCTATAATCCCCATAATTGCCTACACAGCCTACTAGGTCCATGACATGTAGTACTCTTCACTGTATATGGGGGAATTCCTTACTGAAAAACATCCTATAGAATTTAATAGAGATCTAAAAGTCTGTCTCTATTAAACAGATGCTATTTCATTTAAACTAAAACATTTCACAGGGACCAAAAGACTGTGTAGACAAATTTTAATTAAATTTATAGCATTTAATGAGGAATTATAGCTGTAGATTGGCTTAAAAATTCCAAAAATAAGGACATAATTCTACTAAATGCTTAAGGGATTTCCCCAAGGATGTGCACCTGCACATCACTTTTTTGAAACAAAATGCTTCATGTGCAAAGTCAATGACATTATTTACTTTCACAGTACAAAACTTGGTTTTGCTGAGTTGAAGTACAACAGACATGATGTTCCAAGTAGAGGTGTCAGCAACTTAAATAACACATTTGTGTGTCATTTCAGCCTATTTAGAGAAACATAAATATCTGAAATTAGCCTGGGTTTCTTGTATTTGCAGAAAAAGGGAGTTCTATCCAGTCATTTGAGAAAGTATAATACTCATTTTTCTAGCAGTTTCAATTCTGAAGAGCTTTGGTTATTGTAGGCCTCTTTAAGAGACAAACAGGTGGAATTGCTGTTCCTTGCCTTTGTCACCATAAAAAAAATTATAGTTTCACAAAGCAAAAGCAAATGGACATCCATACCCTTTTTCATACCACAAATGCCCAGATTTGTAGCCACGACAGAAGGTAGTAATAATTTGTGCTGCTTTACTGCGGCAGACATCTATCTGGCAAGAGAGCACAGACAACCCAGAGCTGCCTTCATTCTCCAGCCACTCCGAGTAGGACCCTGGGGGCTTGAAGGGCCTTATCTTGCACAGAATATTGCACCCCAGTAATTTCTGCGCAGACCTGGGTCCTTCAAGCCCTGGGGGAGGCTGCCAGGTTTTCCCCGCTCACCAGGATGTGCCCTCAGGATCTCCAGGGCATGTCTAGGTAAGCAGGGAAAATCAGGCAAGCTCTCCCAGGGCTCAAGGAGCCCAATCTTGCAAAAAAAAAAAAAAAAAAAAAATTCCTGGGGTCCATAGAACCAGGCCCCTCAACCCCAGCAGAACACATCGCCTATTGTCCTGCAGAATCAAGAGGCAGGACAACAGGTGATGTATGTTTTGCCCTATGAAGCAGATCAGCTGTGCCAGGACACATCCCAGCACAGCTGATCCATTTCATTTGCTGATATCGATTTCTAGCCCAAGGCAATTTCAGATGTTTTTTGTTATAGACAGTCTCAATATCTTAACTCCATGTTTAAGATCCATGGGACACTGTTCCTTGGAAAATGTGACTCCTCTCTAAATAGAACCAGGCAATCCATAATACATCTAGCTTTTGCCAAAGGATTTCCTTTTCTGACACAGAATTAGGAAAAAAAAATACATGAATACTTTTTGCCAGACTAAATCAGAGCATTGGCCCATCAGATGCAACATCCTGCCTTGGGCCTCAGAGTGCATCTCGTGCTTCAAAAAATGAACAACATGAAGTGTTACTGCTACTGCTCAGGTATGCACAAGGTTCTGGTTCAAACAATATGTTCAGCAGCAGCTAACCCAACAGGGTTTGCTACCAGTTCAATCGAGCACCCTCCTCAGAAATCTATTACTTTTATTTAAATGTATAGAAATTTGTGTGTGCCACTGCAGCTGCCTTGCAGGGCTCCACATACTGATAGTTTTGTAAAAAGAAAAACTTAAAGACTAGCTGAGCAGCAGCAGTTTGCACTGCCACATACGAGAGTGAGGTTTGAACTTAGAACTTCGTCAGAGTTGTGAATACACTGAGAGCACTAGTCTAACTGAAGAGGGAAGATGGAATCTCCTCCAAGCCTCCTTGGTCAGAAGTTAGTGAGATTAAAGTAGAGGTAAAATGGAAGATTCAGTACACTGCAATGAAAGAAGAGAATTCCCAGAGACAGAGAGGAACTTTCATTTGATTTAAGGTAATAATGGACCCATTTAGATTAGATAAGGATTCAAGAATAGTGAGTTCAAGCACAGTTTGAACATTAGAACATACTGAATTTTAAAAGAGTTAATGTAGAGCAGTGGTCACCAACCCAGGGATCGCGATTGACCAGTTGATCCCCGAGCCTCTTTAGGTCAACCCTGGACTGGTGGGACAGCTGTGCGTGCATGCATGCATGCATGCACCCGCTGCCTCCAGCCCCAGCAGGTCAATCTGTGGGGGAGGGAAGGGGCAGGGGCCAGATCAAGGCCCCTGCAGTGAGGGACTGACCTGTGGCTCAGCCAGGAGCAGGGGAAGGTAAGTAGGGCCCCAGCCCCATTGGGTGGTGGGAGGACTGGAGCCCCAGGGGGGCTCCTCCAGGAGCACAGGGGGCTCCCTCCCCATCTCTGTGGGGACAAAGGTGGCAGTGGCGGCTGCTGTTGTGCCTTGAGCTCTACTGCAGCTGGCCACGTGCAGCTCAGCTCAGCAGCAGGGACTCCTGTGGCATCGTGCCCCTGCCCAGCCAGGTCTGGGACTCTCCGCCACCCAGGGGCATGTTGAGGGGAGGGGGAAACTCCTGCCACTGGGTGCAGCTCTGCAGGGACCCCGTGCTGCCCCCGAACCCAGAGCTCCAGGACAAAGCAGCTGCTGCTGCGGGCTGCCTGCTGTGCCCAGAGCACAGGGTGGGAAGGCGGTACAGGCTTCTGGAGCACAGGTGGGCAGGGCATGGGCCCCTGAGACCATAGCTGGGCTGTGCCCAGCAGTGGGAGCCTCGCATGTGCCCCTGGGTGGCAGAGAATTCCAGACCAGGCCAGGCTGGGGCCTGACCCCAGTTCTCTGCTGCCTCTGGGCGGCGGGTAGGGCAGGGGGTGGGGCGGGGATGGGACAAGGGGCAAGATGCAGGGTGGATGGAGAGGCAGGTTAGATCCTGGGGTGCCCTTTATCTCCAAAATGTGATCTTCACTATAAAAAGGTTGGAGACCACTGATGTCAAGCAAAGTACCAGAACTATGCTCCATTCTCTCTGAACAGTAAGGT